ACTAAAATAACTTTCAGCTATAGTTATAGTATAGCATAGCACAGTTTAATACAGTCACAACACTTCACAGCAATCCCAAATGTGCCTTTAAATAATTTGACAATTTTATATTTTCTTGGGATGCATTATGGAAGAGATTTGCATGATAGTAAGGTAAAGAGATTTTTTTTATAGGTTTGTTTGTGTGATATATACAAGCATGAACAGGATTTGCTTTCATTGATTTAATCCATTAGAAAAAGCTTGATTTTATTACAGTTTTGGTAAGTTAACAAGATTTTAGAGAAAAAGATTTGTGTGTGTGTGTGTGTTTTTTTTATTAAATCTCTCAATATTTGAAAGTCAGATTCAGTCCTCATTAGTTTGGAATCAAATTGGTTCAGATCTAATAAAGAAAAACTCTTCAAATGCTTATTTCTTCTTTCATAAAATTTAAATTTGAGATGTTACTTAATAATTTATTTTTGCTCAAAAAGATTTATGTTAGACACTAGAGAAGTAGTCCGTTTATTTTCCTGTTTTTATTTGATTAGATTAACAATTTCTATTTCTCCTTTCATGCCTTGCCTGCAAAGTGATGGATCATGGATGCACCAAAATCAATTTTTTGCTCCCGTAACTAATTTTTGCAAATCCAACTATGTTTTCTTTGAAGGCGAAAAAAAAAAAAGGGTTAATTGTTGGTTCGATCTACGTGATGGGATTTTTTTTTGGATAATGCTACATACACACTTCCGTCACACACCTCGTTACACCCACTTAGGCTCCATTAGTCTTTGCTACTTTCCGTTCCATTAACTCCCAAACTTGCAATTGCCCTAATGAAACCTGCAATTTCATCCTCTTCACCTAGCATTGGCTCTTTGATTTTCAACTTTCTTCATTCTTTTCCCTCCTTCTTTCTTTTTCTTCTTCTTTCCCTTTCCTCCCCTCTTCTTCTCTTCCCCCCTCTTTGATTTGTTGAAGGAGAACCCAGATCTGAGTTCTTCAACAAAACCTGTGAGAACCCATGAGAACCGAGAACAGGTTCTCACCTCGGGTTCTGGAGAACCTAGATCGAGTTTTGAAGGAGAACTTGAGAGAAAGAAAAAAAAAAAAGAGGAAGAGGAAAAAGGAAGAAGGGGGGAATCTACAATTGAAGGAACCCAACTCGAAGCATGTTCTCAATCACTTCTTTTTCTCCCATAATATGCAATTCCCAATATGCGATCGAAGGTTGCAACTTGAATCAAAACGTCTTTTGAGCTCAAGAGGTTGATGATTCTCGTGATTTCTTTGTATGTTTCCAGTTCATCAACCAGAGGGATTCTGATGGTTTTGATCAGCAAGGAGGATGGTGAACAGTAAGAAAGAGAAAGGAAAGGAGAGAGAGAAAGAAAGGGCCGGGTTGGGTGCTTAACGGAGAGTGAGTGTTTGTAACGAGGGATGTGAGTGTGTGACGGAGTGTGAAAAAAGGGAACGTAAACGTAGCATTGTCCTTTTTTTTTGGAAAATGATGAATACACACTCCGTTGTCACACCCTCCGTCACACACACTCCATCTCCGTTTGTCTCCGTTTGTCTCCGTTTATCTCCGTTTCTTTGGTTAACCTAGTGGCTCTCCTCTTCACCAAGCCCTGGTTCTTTGATTTTCTTTCTCTCCTCCCCCTCTCCTTCCTTCTCTTCTCCACTCCTAGAACCCAGATCGGGTTCTTGCAAACCTAGATCTAGAACATTAGACATTCCATGGTTCAATTAGATGAGGAAGAAGGCATGAATGAAAGGCTTAGCAACGGAGAGAAAGAGAGAGGCAAGGGTGAGAGGATGCCAAGTTCTGTTGAGGATAGAGATTGGTAGTGGATTTTATGGAAAGGAAAACAGCTAGACTGGAGAGGAAAGGCTTGAGCCAACGAGGGAGATCAAGGGGCAAGAAGAGAACTGACATCAAAGAAGGAAGAGATAGCTGACAATGGAGAATGGAGAGAGAAGGGGAAGCTCAGCATCTTCGACATCTACTTCAAGACCCCCATTGTTCATGGAATGGATCTCGTCACTCCGCGCTTTAGGTCCCCTGCCAAGCATCTCGTGCTTCTCGTTGGTACGACTTTATGTTAGGAATGTATGTACGATGCTTTCTTGTTTGCTTCTACCAATGGGTTTTGTAATTGGTTTTTGGTTCCTTATAGCTGATTAATTGGCGTTAAACTTGAAATGCTTTTCTGGTAGTTTGCATTTTCCGTTGTTGAAATGTCTGTAATTGGGAATTGATTTTCTGGGACGGTTTCAATTGGGCTTACATCAATTAATTTAGCATTTTTCTTCATTTAGTGAGGTCTAATGTTGCTTAAAATGTTGGAGAGTATTTGAAGAACCCGATTTGGGTTCTTGCATAACTCGATCTTGGTTCTGTAACCCAGATGCAGAACCCTAATGCTGTGTCTGGGTTGCAGAACCCAATTTGGGTTCTTCTCGGAGAACCCAATTTGGGTTCTTCTCGGAGAACCCAGGTCTGGGTTCTCTCGAGAACCCGGGAGAAAAGAAAAAAAAGGAAAGAAGGAGGGATCACAGTGTGAGTGAAATGGAGACTAACGGAGTGTGAAAATTAACGGAAAAAAGAGTGTGTAATGACAGTGTGGTACGAATGGGTGTGTGTCAATCATGATCCTTTTTTTTTACATGCTATTATTCTTGGAAATTACGGTTGATTTGCATATAAGAATGGACAAGGGTTTCCGAGAAGTAATCGATGAACAAGGAGAAAAAGGGGCTGTTTGTGCTTGTTTAGATCACAATATATTTTTTATTAACCAAATAAGAGTATAAAAGACATTTAGTATATCAATTATCCTAAACAAGTAAATTTTGGATGCGCTTATGATAAATTTGAAAGGACAATTTTCACTTATGTT